GCCGAAAATTTCACAGAGGATAAAATTCAGGTCGAGTATACAATCGTGGACATGGCCAAAATGATGCCCAAAACTATGAAAGGGGGATAAATTTTCAGCAAAATTCTGGACATGATAAAGAGAAAGAAAATCTCATGAAAAATAACGATGATAAAGCATGATATCGATGTGGTAGAAAGAGGCATTGGGCTTGAAATTGTCGAGCCCCAAGGCACGTGGTTGAAAGTTACCAGGATTCTCAGAAATCAAAGGGGGAGAATGTTGAAACTAATTTTATGATAAGAGAATCTTCCGGAAGTGAACCGATACGTGCAGAGGATGACTATAACATCGATGATATGCTGAAAATGGATTTTGTTGATGCAACGTTTGAAGAAGGAGCTGCAAATAATCAAGAATAATTGATGATCTGTCTTCTGTGTGTTGATGAAATTCTTACGTATGATTGTAATAGCATGTGAACCATCATTATATGTATTTTGAAATTGATCAATAATATTTTTCATTTTTTGTTTTAGATCATGGAACAGTCCTGAAACCAAAATGGAGATTTACGTCTCGCAGATTGTGCCACTACCCACACTATACTCAAAGACAGAAAATATTTTGTTCACTTAGAAACAAATAAAGCGAAAGTGAACATAATATCAGGGAGTGCAAAGATAATTGAGGGGTCCAGAAAGGTTATATTTTTTATGATGGGAGGTACAAAATTCACATTGAATAATGCATTATTCTCCCCAAAAATCAATAAGAAACTTGTTGAGTTTTAAAGATATTCGAATGAACGGATACCATGTTGAAACAATGAATAAAGGGAGAGATGAATATCTTTGCATTACCTCAAATATTACGAGAAATAAATGTGTTTTGGAAAGATTACCCGCTTTATCCTCGGCTTTATATTACTCCCGCATGAATATAATCGAGGCTTATGCTGCAACAAATTCAAAATCGAATGGATTGTTTCAACTTTGGCATGATCGACTTGGTCACCCTGGCTCGATAATGATGAGAAGAATTATTGAAAATTCTAAGGGACATCCATTAAAAAATCAAAGGATATTGCAAACACATGAATTGACATGTGCCTAATGTTCTCAAGGGAAATTGATAGTGAGACCATCACATACTAAAGTCGGACATGAATCAACATTATTTTTAGAAAGGATTCATGGTGATATATGTGGACCTATTCATCCACCTTGTGGCCCATTCAGATATTTTATGGTGTTGATTGATGCTTCTAGTAAATGGTCTCACGTGAGTTTGTTATCCACTTGAAATGTGGCATTGCCAAATTACTCGTCCAACTTATTAAATTAAGGGCTCAATTCCCAGATTATATTATCAAAAGGGTCAGACTTGACAATGCTGGTGAGTTTACATCTCAAGCATTTAATGATTGTTGTATGGTATTGGGAATTGATGTTGAACATCCACGTTCACACTCAAAATGGTCTAGCTGAATCATTAATTAAACGATTGCAGCTTATTGCTAGACCATTAATAATGAGAACAAAACTCCCCACTGCAGTATGGGGACATGCTATTCTTCATGCAGATGATCTAATTCGAATAAGACCAGGTACATACCGTAAATACTCGCCATTACAGTTGGCATATGGTCGAGAACTAAATATTGCACATATAAGAGTTTTTGGTTGTCCAATATATGTACCAATTGCTCCACCCCAACGTACAAAAATGGGGCCTCAAAGAAGGTTGAGAATATATGTTGGATATGATTCTCCATCAATAATCAAATACCTTGAGCCAAAAACAGGTGATGTTTTTACAACTCGGTTTGATGATTGTCATTTTAATGAAGAATTATTTCCCCCCTTAGGTGAGAATGAAAAATCAATCGAGAGAAATATTGAATGGAGAACATCATCACTATCATATCTTACTCCTCCCACCAAACAAAAAGAGCAAGAAGTCCAAAAGATCATACACCTGCAGAATACTGCAAATCAATTGCCAGATGCATTTACTGATTTAAAAAGGGTGACCAAATCACATGTGGCAGTTGTAAATGCCCCTGCTCAAATTGAGATTCCAAAAGAAATGGAAAATGATAATATGCCAAATGAGTCAAAGACACGCTTGAAACGAGGAAGACCAATTGGGTCTAAAGATAAGAATCCTCAAAAGAAAAGAGAAATTCATGACTCGAATTTGAAAAAGAATCAAGATGATGGGAAAATTTCGGAAAGAAATGAAAATATTGAATTTTCCATTAATTACTTAAATAATGGGAATCTTTGGAAGCGTGATGAGATGATAAATATTGATGATGCGTTTGCATATATGGTATCGAAAGAAATTGATGATGAAGTTGAGGATCCTGAACCAAAATCTGTAACTGAATGTCAGAAAAGACATGACTAGGATAAGTGGAAAGACGCCATCCGAGCTGAGTTAGATTCACTAAATAAACGAAAAAAATTTTGGGCCTATTTCCATTGCACCAAAAGGCATAAAACCTACTGGATACAAATGGGTTTTCATCAGAAAAAGAAATGAGAAAAATGAGATCACGAGATATAAAGCTCGCCTTGTAGCACAGGGATTCTCCCAAAAGCCTGGGATCGATTATGATGAAACATATTCCCTTGTCATGGATGCAATTACTTTCAGATACTTGATCAGTTAACTATCCATGAAAATCTTGAGATGCGTCTCATGGATGTTGTGACTGCTTACTTGTATGGATCATTAGACACCGACATTTACATGAAAATTTCTGAAGGAATCAGAATGCCCGAAGCACTAAACTCCAAAACTAAAGAGTTATGTGCGATGAAGCTGCAAAGGTCATTATATGGCTTGAAACAATCCGGGCGTATGTGGCATAATTGTTTGAGTGAACAATTGCTCAAAATGGGATACTTAAATGATCAAATATGTTTGTGTGTCTTTATAAGGAAATCACATGATGGAGTTGTGATAATTGTTGTATATGTTGATGATCTAAATATTATTGGGACAACAAATGAAGTACGAGAAGCAGTCACTTTTCTAAAAGGCGAATTTGAAATGAAAGATCTCGAAAAAACCAAATATTGTCTCGGCTTATAGATAGAGAGAGTACAGAATGGGATATTTGACCATCAATCTAACTATACTGAAAGAGTACTGAAACGATTCAGCATGGACAAAGCTAATCCCCTTAGTACTCCGATGGTTAACCGAACATTGGATGTTGAAAAGGATCAATTTCGACCATACGAAGAAAATGAAGAAATACTTGGTCCTGAAGTACCATATATGAGTGCAATAGGAGCTCTTATGTATCTTGCTAATTGCACCAGACCAGATATATTCTTTGCTACCAACTTGTTTGCAAGATATAACTCGTCACCTACGAGGAGACACTGGAATGGAATCAAACATATATTTCGTTATCTCCAAGGAACAACCGATCTGGAGTTATTTTACTCAAATGATAAAAAAAAACATGAAATTATTGGTTTTGCAGATGCAGGATATTTATCAGACCCACATAAGGCGAGATCTCAAACTGGCTACGTATTCACGATTAGTGGAACTGCATTTTCTTGGCGTTCTCAGAAACAAACATTGGTTGCTACATCTTCAAACCATGCTGAAATCATTGCACTTTATGAAGGCTGTTGATACCCAATTTGGCTCCAATTAATTAAGTAAAAAATACAATGATAAAATACGTCCCGACAACCAAGAACCCATAAATATATGATAAATAAATATACAAATAGGTTCTCTAGACCGATCGCCTAAAAAGCGACCGGATTCCCAGATATCGAGTCCGCCAGCTACCGAGCCGAGTAGGATTCAGAGCCGCCTCCAGTAGATACCATAATTGCCGAGGAGACAGACGTCAGTTGGAACCGGCAAGAGTTATCAGCGGGCCCCACGATAGTTATCTCACATTAAATAATGATGTATTACCTCTTATTTATTTAATCACCCACTTGTGAGAAAGGTGGGGTGTATATATATGAGGGGGAGAGGAGAGAGAAGGGGACTTTTTTTCTTCCCTTCACTATTCATCTCCTTCCTTCCAAGAACACACCATTCCTATCCATTTTTATTCTTCATTTTCATACTAGCAATTCGTATTATTTTTTACGGTTGATCGTCCGATTTTCGACATCAACAAAGGCTCAGAAACATGACTCAACACATTCAACAAGCCAGTGGATTATCGAATAATAAAGATCCGACGGTGATATTTGAAGACAATGCAGCATGTGTCGCTCAAACCAAAGAATGATACATTAAGAGTGACAGAACTAAACATATCCCACCAAAGTTCTTCTCGTACAGCCAAGAGGTTGAAAGGAACAAACAGATCAAGATTCAATACATCCGATCAAGTGATAATGCAACAGATTTATTTACGAAGGCGCTCCCAACTACAACATTCCGAAAGCACGTTCATAACATTGGAATGAGACATCTTCGAGATTTGCACAGATGATAACTCGAGGGGGAGCATGTGCGGCTGTGCTATTTTTTCTTTATCTCAGTTTTTTTCCCACAGGATTTTTTCGGATAAGGTTTTTAACGAGGCAGCATAAACGCACATTTAATAGTGGTAATTCCAAGGGGGAGTATTATGAACAAGCGGAATATACCACTATTCATGAATAGTAATGTGAATGGTAAAGGGTATGAGATGTTAATAATTTGTGTAGAATTGTCGGTAGAATTTGCCTATAAAAGGCACTCCAAATGAAGTGAAGGAATATGCATTCAGAAGAAAGAAGAAAGATTGAGTATAAGGTATATTCAATTTTTATATTGTGTTCTTTATATTTCTGTTTTTATAACATGAAGAGTATAATTGTGTCTTTTTACCTACTAAAATGGCTATTAATTCAACGGGAAAATTACACTTTCTCTACCTAACTATCCGTGTTTTTATACTTTGTCCACTCAACTTTTTTCAGTGACACTTTACCCCTTGAACTTCAAATATTCTTGCACTTAACAACTTCCGGCCACCGGAGATGCAGAATCAAAGGCAAAGTGTAAAAACGCGTATAGTTCGGTAAGCAAAGTGTACTCGTGAAGACTAATTTGAGGTGTCTCCTAAGGTGTAAATGACGATTTTGCCCTTGATTTTGCATCTCCAGTGGCCGGAGGTCGTTAAGTGCAAGAATATTTGAAGTTCAAGGGGTAAAGTGTCACCGGAAAAAGTTGAGTGGGCAAAGTGTAAAAACGCAGATAGTTCGGTAGGCAAAGTGTAATTTTCCCTAATTCAACTTCTACAAAAAATTGACTATTTTTCACCTTTTCCTATTTTTACTTGGGTAAAAACCAGGTGACTGTAAAATATAATTTCAGGACAACATTTGATAGCCCTTTAAAAATATCGGTCAACCGCTTTGCCGCCACCTCCCATATTACGAAAACAACAGTATATTGCATCGACGGCGGTCAGGCTGCCTTTTTGGCGAACGCCGTACCCCAATGTCCGGCACCCAACAACATGAAAAGTTCCGCCGCCAAACCGTTTCTGTACCCTACCCTTCCTCTCCGGCGACCGGCGGAGCTCAACGCGGCGGCGGCCAGCGACTACGCCGCCAGGCTCCACCTCTGTTTCTTACGTGGCCCTTCCGCCTACGTCCTGTCCGCTGGAATCCACGCCCACATGATAGCCTCTGGATTTTCACCCCGTGGTCACATCCTCAACCGCCTGATCGATTTCTATTGCAAATCCTACAACCTTAGCTACGCAAAGAAGCTGTTCGATGAAATTCCCCATCCAGATGTTGTCTCGAGAACCACCCTGATTGCTGCCTATTCCACCTCTGGAAACCCTAAGTCCGCCGGAAAAATATTCGACTGCATCCCGTTAAGAATCCGAGACACAGTTTGCTACAATGCCATGATCACTTGCTATTCCCATAACAGAGACGGCCTTGCGGCCATTCATCTCTTTAACAAAATGAGGCAAGAAGGCTTCAAACCCGATAATTTCACCTACACGAGCCTGCTTGCAGCTTTGGCGCTAGTGGCCGAGAAAGAACACCATTGCCAGCAGCTGCACTGTGTGGTCATAAAGTCCGGTACAAGCTCAGTTACCTCTGTTGTGAACGCTTTGATGTCTGCTTACGTCAAGTGCATGCTATCGCCGCTCGTGTCATCTTCCTCGCTGATGACATCAGCGAGGAAGCTGTTCGACGAAATGCCCGCAAGGGACGAATTATCCTGGACGACAATAATCACAGGCTATGTGAAGAACGAGGATGTTGATTTGGCCCGTGAAGTTTTCGACAGGCTGGATCAGAAACTGGTTGTAGTGTGGAACGCTATGATTTCCGGGTACGTGCACAAGAAAATGGTGTCTCAAGTGTTTGACATGTTTCGAAACATGCATTCGTTGGGTATTCGCCATGATGATTTCACTTACTCGAATGTTCTGAGTGCCTGCGTGGACGCCGGGCTGTTTCTTCACGGCAAGCAGATTCACGCACGAATCCTACGCACAGAGCCAAATCCCACGTCCGACTTTCTGGTGTCCGTAAATAACTCTCTCATCACTCTATACTGGAAAATGGGAAGCCTCGACCACGCCAAAAAAATCTTCGACTCCATTCGCAACAAGGACCTCATCTCGTGGAACACGATCCTATCCGCCCACGTGAGCGCCGGCAAAATTCGTGAGGCGAAATTATTTTTCGACAAAATGCCCGACTCAAAAAACACGCTCTCGTGGACCGTCATGATATCGGGATTCGCGCAAAACGGTCTCGGCGAAGAAGCTCTCAAGCTTTTCAACGAAATGAAGTCCCACGGGCTGAAGCCGTGCGATTACGCGTTCGCCGGAGCCATAACCTCTTGTGCAGCGCTCGCCTCCTTAGAGCAAGGCCGACAGCTGCACGGTCAGCTCATCCGCCTCGGATTCGAGTCGAGCCTCTCGGCCGGAAACGCTCTGATAACGATGTACGCGAGATGCGGGACTCTGGAATCTGCACAGCTCATGTTCCTCACTATGCCCTGCTTGGACCCAGTCTCTTGGAATGCGATGATGTCAGCATTGGGTCAGCACGGGCAGGGCGCCCGCGCGCTCGAGCTTTTCGACGAGATGGTCGAGGAGAAAATACTGCCTGATCGAGTCACGTTCCTGACTGTCCTCTCGGCGTGCAGCCACGCGGGCCTAGTCGAGCAAGGGCGAAAGCACTTCGAGTCGATGAGTAGAATTTATGAAATTACCCCCGGTGAAGACCATTACGCGCGGCTGATAGATCTTCTGTGCAGGGCGGGAAAAATTAGTGAGGCCCGAGAAGTGATAATTAAAATGCCATTCGAGCCCGGCCCGCCAGTCTGGGAAGCCCTGCTCTCTGGCTGCAGGCTTCATGGTGACGTGGAGCTCGGGGCTGAAGCGGCCGAGAGGCTGTTTGAGATGGTCCCGAAGCACGATGGAAGCTATATACTGCTGGCGAACATGTTCTCGACAGCTGGCAGGTGGGATGACGTGGCGAGGGTGCGGAAGATGATGAGGGACAGGGGAGTGAAGAAGGAGCCTGGCTGCAGCTGGCTCGAGGTCGAGAGCAAGGTGCACGTTTTCTTGGTGGACGACACGAAGCACCCGGAGGTGAAGACGGTGTACGTTTATCTCAAGGATTTGATGACGAGGATAAGGAAATTGGGGTATGTTCCGGATACGAAGTTTGTTTTGCATGATATGGAGTCGGAGCAGAAGGAGCAAGCGTTGTCGACTCACAGTGAGAAGCTTGCGGTTGTTTATGGGCTTCTGAAGATTCCGAGAGGGGTGCCGATTAGGATCTTCAAGAACCTGCGGATATGTGGGGACTGTCATAATGCGGTTAGTTTCATGTCGAGGGCGGAGGGGAGGGAGATTGTCGTGAGGGATGGGAAGAGGTTTCATCATTTTAGGGATGGGGAGTGCTCGTGTGGGAACTACTGGTGAATGGAAATAATATTTGAGGGCAATTTTTTTGTTTTTCATTTTTTTTTATTTTTTTATATGATTGATAATTTTTGGTGGTGTGTATATGGTTGTTTGGGGGTTATGTCTGTTTTGCATGGGTATGGACAAGAGGAAAGAATTAGAAAAAAACCAGATGTAACCTGATGAAGTGAACTATAGGCTGTGATAGTTCCCACGAGAAATATAGGCTGTGATTAAACAGATTTCTTATTTGATATTTGAAGGTTATAGGGTTCTTTTAGTCACCCTCCTTGATCACCTTGATTAATATATATTTCCATTTGTATGAATCCGGGTGGCTTTTATATTTTTTTCAGATGAGCTAAGAAATGAGGTCTGTTTTTTGGAAAATATGATTAAGCAAATCGTGTGGGGTGGTATATATTACATTGACACAATGATAAGAATTTCTGTATGTTTTATTTTGTGTTAGGTGAGTGTAGTTGTGAATGTTTTACTTCGTTTTTTTAACTTTTTAGTATGATAGTTGATATAGCCATACAAGGACATACCGGCCTAAAGACTCCCTACTCGACCGGATAACCGTTCAGACTGCCTACAGGACGATAGATTACCATTAATATATACAAATCGACTTCCCTAGAGTCGATTATACTGAGAGCAATCGAGAAGAGGCAGAAATCGGTCTAGTCGACTCTTGCAAGTCGACCTTAGTCTGTCGATTTTCACTAGTCGACATCAATAGAAGAAGAACAGCAAAAGCGTAACTCCCGAGCATCCCGATATTCTAAGTCGACTCTCAGCAGTCAACTTAACTAAGATGACTCTCTGAAGATGACTTCACCTCAGAGAATTAGCCAAGCGTAGCCTCCGAATCCGCACAATTCACAAGTCGACCTCCTAGCTCTCGAAGTCGACCCCGCACACCTCGAATACCAAAGATGTGATGACGACTCATCACACTTGCAGCATACTTAAAGTTCCGCATATTACAAAGGATAAGAAGGAATCTTGTGATGACTCAGCAGCAAGGGGAAACGAACCGACCGGGGCATTTTGGACCTTCTAGGTCCACCGACTTGGGCATTTTGGGTACTTCAAGTAAGTATTCACTCCTATATAAAGGAGGTGAGGTAACCCCAAACCCTAACTCTCATTCATTCCCACTCTCCCCCATAGCTGCTGCGCAGCATCTTTTCGTCACTCTCATACTGACTTGAGCGTCGGAGGCTCTACGCAGGAAACACCTCCGGCGTTGAGTTTTTGCAGGTATCTCGCGGTCTAGCAGGGATTCGGAGGCGGTTCAAGCAGATCTGAGCTCATATCTACCGGTTTACTCCAGATCCGGAAGTAGACCCATCAATAGTATCACAGTTGTGTTTGGCCTGTAATCTCAGTGTTTTGTCTCCTTCATAGAGTGGGTGTTTGTGTGTAGTTGTATTTTTTCCTTGGTAGAGTGTAATTTCAAGGGAATTTGTGTTGAGACTTGTATTGGTGTTTAGTTAATTTTATAATATTATTATTTCAAAAAAGTAAAATATAAGAATATGATGATGAAGATCGTGTATCAGGACTCGATTTTGTGTAAGAACCCGCGCTAACGGCTTTGGTTCGTACACGATAAAATGTGTAAAACTCATGCTAACGGCCTTGGTTGACACAATAATAAGCGAAGAACTTGCGCTCTCCGCCTCAGTTTTTTCACGAAAAAAGTACTCAGAAACGAGCCTTTTTCTTAAACTTTATTTCATAAAACTTGCATATTACAAGATCATTTCCTAGTCTTTAAATATTAAAGTAAGGACATTTAAATATTAAAATTATTCTAACTAATCATTCAAACATCTAAATTATAACTAACATAATTATCCTATCCTAATACTTAACTAACACAACTATTCCCGGCATGCACTTCCATGTCACACGTAAAACTGATGTTGGCACCCAATTGGTTGGTTTGCTCGGTGCACATCATTCTCGACCCCTTCATTCGATCCTCCTACGGATCAGAAAGGGCTCCCAAGCGTGTGCCCAGCTAATCGGGGAGCACGAACGGAGCTAACTGTCTTTCTCAGGGGCCTTTTTCGAGCACTAGGCAGGTCACTTAATAAAGCAAGCAAGAAAATCCATCCCGGAGAGAGTCCCCCATTTTCATTATCCGAATTCGGTGCCCCACTATGTGGGCTTTAATAGCCTTGGTCTAGAAAGACTTCAGAAATGGAAGAACTTAGTGGAACCGTAGTCAAACCGATAGAAGATCTATTCACTCCTTGTTGCCACATATGTTCACAATCGTGTATCGAACTCTCAAATTTGTGTAAAACCCCGTGCTAACGACCTTGATTTAGACACGATTTTGTGTTTGAAATCGAGCGTTTTTATATTTATTAACATCACAATTGAGAATCAGATGCAATACACCCTAAAATACTAGAAAACCACATAAACTTACAAGATACTTCAAATTTAAACACACAACACACCTAATCCCGCCTAAACTAACCATAAAAAACTTCCAGACCGTCAATGCGCAACGGCCGTCGTGGCGCGACACTATGCCCAACCCTCAACCTCTGTCGTTGTGGCAGTTCCTGCGACTATACTGGCAATGCGGCCCTATCGCGGAGCAACACCCTGGGCTGCTCCCAAACTCTGCCATCGTGACAGTCTGCTCGCTGCGGGAATCTTCTATCTCGTCGCGGTGCGACACTCTGGCATTTATGCCACATTTTGTTCTTTAAGTTTTGCATGTCGAGGCCTAGGCCCTTAGGCCTCTATGGCCCCTAGGCCTCTAAAGTAGCCTGTTAGCATTAAATATATGTCATTTATCTATATATAAAAAGGTTGTTGGATAAATCTTTTTTGGAAACTTTTGACCAAATAAATAATACCTTTGACATTCTATTTATGGAAACTTTGAAAACAATAATGGCGTAGTTTTTTATTGACCGAATTTCAGAATTTGAATTCAAAACTGGTGTAGTTTTTTATTGACCGAAAATTACTGTTTGAATTCAAATTTAATGGTGTAGAGATAAGATTGGAACAATAATCTATGGATTATGGAAAATCGCACGGAAATTAACGGTGTAGAGATAATATTGTAACAATAATCTATGGATAACTCATTATGGAAAATTGCATAGTGGAATAATCTGTTATGGAACAATAATCTGTTACACCAGATTAATATCACAGTTTGAAGTTATCGTATTTTTTACTTTTGAATTAATCTCATGATGCACGGGAGATTGGCCTCACATTAAATCACATTTTGCACGTACAAAAGAGGTTGACATCATATTAATCACTGGAAATTGGAATTTAATGTTATCCATTTAAAACACATAATAAATAATATGATATATTAATCTGTTATCTGTTATATTAATCACACGGAGGATAAATCACGAGAGAGATTAAGAACATCAACATAAACTGTCAATTTACTGAAACTTAACAACAATTAATATGATATATTAATATGTTATCTTTTATAATAATCACACGGTGGATAAATCACGAGACAGATTAACATCCCAATTTGAATTCATTAAAACTAAACATCATTTTAAAACACGTGTTCATTATCTGTTACGAGAGAGAGATCAAATTGAACGTCCAACTAATCTTATCATCATATCAGAGTCTGAATTTACTCAAACTCATAATTTAAAATCATCTAATGGTTATCAACTTTTATCCCATGGCTATAAATTAAACGTCCGAACGTAGATCACATATCACAAAAATCTCACACTCCCATTTCACATATCAACAGAAAAATGGCTAAAGCATGGGGAAACATCAAGCAAGTAACAAGGACCAACATGCCAATGCTCAAGTTAAGAGTGGTTCGAGTTTTTCAAAGGACTAATGAATACTCATCCTACAAGAACATCCTTGAAATTGTCTTTCATGACATTGAGGTATAATTCATAATCAAAGTTAATGATTAATTCTTTCTTCTCATATTACACCATAATATCTAATATTATCTTTTTTGTTTTTTTCCAGGGCGGTCAAATTACTGGAATAGTAAGAGCAGTAAACATCCCAACTTTCAAGGATGAATTCGAAGAAGGTGTTGTCTATGCATTTTGAAATTATCAGGTTAAGAGTAATATTAGAATGTATGGAACCACCATTGCACAATACAGGCTTATACTACATGGAAGAACTGAACACATAAGCTACAAGGGTGACTTTCCAATTTTTCGTTTCGACTTTCAAAGGTTCATAACACTAATTAATGTCGAGAAGATCGACGAATCAATGCTATTTAATAATTGCATTTTCACTTATTTAATTTTTTTTTAACGTTCAATAATATTTTTACTCATATTTAATACATGTTTAGATGTCATTGGAATGGTGGTGGAGATACATCCAATTCAAATGAAGAACGTCAAAGAAGTAAAAACTCGCATGATAGCATTCTCACTAATGGATCCAGAGTAATATTAAACCTTACACCCACATATGATTATTCATGTATAATAATATAATGTAATATTTACTTTCATATTTATTATAATAATTTTTTTGTTTAAACTTGCAATTAGGGGAAACTTTCTGCCCTGCACTCTGTGGGGGACATATATTGACTAATTCCTCAACTTTGAGAGTCAACTTGCCCACGATGGCAATCCTTGGATAATTCAATTAGGGCGTTCAAGAGCATGGGTAGGTATATAAAATTTAATGCCTTCAATTTATATAATTAATTTATCCAATAGTACTGTTTAAGTTATATTATTTCTTTACAAACAGAAAAAGTGCAAGTTACCTCATCAAAGGATATAACAAGGCCAATTGCTGGAGAAAATATTCCAGACATTGTGGAATTTCGCAATAGGTAAAACTACTTTGAATTAATTTATATTCAATAGTTATATATATATAAATAGATAATTAAAAAAATAAACTTTATATCTTCTACAGGGCTGCCGTCGGCCCACTTAAAAGGGCCCGCTTAATTTCAAAGAGAGATGTCATTGTAAAATCTGAACTTCAAGAATTAGCCGATGGTGATATTGTTGTGAGTGATGTTGACTCACTCTGTTATACTGCTGGGGTAAATATAATTACAAATACTTATGTGCCACTTCTATTTGATGAAAAGCATGGCTGAAATCCTACATTTATAAATGTAGGGAAACGATATTTGGGTATGTGCTACAGTGGAATCAATTATAGATGAATGGTGGTACCACTCATGTAGAAGATGCACAAGCAAAATGGAGGAGGTTCATGGACAGTTTTAGTGAAACAAATGTGCTCATAAATTTGGCATTTTTCGGTAACAGAAGTTACAAAAATATTGCAAAATAGTAATTAAATAATATCTGATTATTTTTCTTAACTTATATTTTTATCTATAGCTACAAGATTCAATTTGGTGTCCAAGACTCTTCGGCGCTTGCGACTTTAATTGCATGGAATAATGAATGCGAACCTATAATTGGTAGGCCATGTGATGCTTTGAGACGTGAAATCATGCAAAAGGTTCGTTCCGTTAGTTTTAGTTATAGTATATATTATATATATTAACACCAAAAACTATATGATACATATGATTATCTTAGTTATAGTATATATTATATATATTAACACCAAAAACTATATGATACATATGATTATCTCTATATGCCGAATTCTACCAGCGTTGAATTGCCAGACGAAATAGAGAATATAGTTCACAAATCATTTCTCTTTAAGGTGCGAATTAGACAAAACAGGCGTAATTTCAATGGAGCAGAATCAGCGTTTTCTGTTGTAAGGATGATTGCTGATGAAAATCTTGTATCTAAGTACAGTCAGTGGATTACCGAAAAAGAAGTAAGTATAACAAACAAAAACATAATCTGGCTAATTAATAAACTATGATTAAATATGAAGTTACACTTACTTTCTATTAAACTAAATGGGACTCTGACTTCTTGACTTTATGCCAACGTGAAGAGGCTAATAATGGCAAGGTCAATGATCATTTATCACACTTATTATTTTTCTTCAAAATAGCAGATTTATTTTAGCCAAATAATTATATTTAATTTAAATACTAATATTTAGACATTATAAATTGATTGATAGGATTGCATTGGTGAAGAAGAGGTGTCAACACCTGTGAAATCTCTCAAAGGTAAAGAGAAGGTTGGAGAGACTTCAAATACGAAGAAAAAATTAATGGAGATAATTGAAGATGAGGCAGGATTTGTTGCTCAGTCAGCCACTGCCGACAAGGGCAAAGCAAAAGTGACCGAGCAAGATGATGAAATGAAGGACAACTTTGATTGAGTGGCTAGGATGTTATTAGTTGATTGAAGTATTTTATATTATTATATTAGGATTTCATTTGCTTTGAGTACTTTGATTGAATAAGTTGGCATCGCCAATAAGAGTAATTTAGGATTTATTATTTGAAATCGGTTTTAGGATTGGCTATGGTTCGGTTTTAGGATTTATTATGGGAATTCGGTTTGTTCGATTTTAGTATCGGATATTAATGGTTATTAATAATATTGATTATTAAGTTTTTTAATTGTTCAGAATTTTTTTTTTCAAGTTGAAGTATTTACATTAATACTGAGTATATAACAGTAGTAATCTATATAAATGAAATCTATCTCTATATAGAAATACTGTAAAATGCGTTTCATTTAACACTATATACTAATATATACATGAAAAAATTAAAGTAAAAAATAATTTCCAAACACTCACCACTTTATACTAAAAAAATAAATAAAACATATTGTTACCAATACCATCTAATAAGTGGATTAAATAAATGGCAGTATTTTACCGTGGAAAACAAGCAATAATATTCAATACTAAAATACTGTTAGCCTACCTGTACCCGGTTATATGGTTTCCAAACATTCACCACTTTATATTAAAAAATTAAATAAAACAGATTCAAACCTATACCATCTAAAGAAGAACAAATTATTTTTTACATAAGATTATACAATTTGAATAAAACATAACACAATAGGATTAATATGACATAACACAACAGCATTAATCCAATTATTTATAAATAAATTTGCAATCAGGGGCACATATTTAAAAAAACAACAGTATGTATTTATGTTGTAATTATTCTCATGGCAGAGTTAAGTATGAAGCATAATAAAGGAATAAAAATATATTAGAATCGGACATTATTCCAGCTATTCAAACAAATATCATTCAGGGACATAAACATCTATCTCATGAAAATTAATTTTAAATAACAATAGCAATTCGGATACACAGTAATTCTTAAGTGATTCAAACAATTAAAATACCAAAACATAAGGTACGCGTTACATATCAAGTTGTTATCCTGTGGTTATCCAAACAACAGATAGAGTACTAGCACGTGTTAAATACAGCTACCAGATAAGGCACATGATATCCTAATTCATCTAAAACGGCTATTCTGTAGATATCTAATATATTCATTGCAACACATCACATTCTCTCCTATATTTCAACACATACTGGCACATTGTTGGATTCTTAGAAAACAGTCCAAACATATTTGGTGAAAGCATCAATAAAAGCATTCAAGTTATCAAGAACACATTTGTTGAGAGCAACAAAGACGCAGACAGCAATAAAAACATTCAAGTTATCACGAACACATCTGTCGAGAGCAACAAAGACGCAAACAGTAATAAAAGCATTCAAGTTATAAAGGAGAAGGGGGTTGAGAGCAACAAAGACGCAAGTAGCAATAAAAGCATTCAAGTTATGAAGGAGAAGGGGGTTGAGAGAAACAAAGACACATAAGTTATTCACAAAACAATAAGAAAAATAGAATGATCCAGAACAAAAAAGGTACACATCAAAATTTACCTTTTCTTACCTACATGATTGTAGCAAAACTGTCAGCAACATGCTCGAAGATGGAAATCATAAAAGAAGAATAAATTGAAGTTAGAGATATGAGTCGAGAGTTACATGATTTATATATTATTGACCTTGATTTGATGTGAAAGAGTACCTTTTTTTATGCAATCAGCTTGAATCTCCGAGTCATGTTCCTCCTTGCATATGTATTGCTCCACATCAATGCAACCAAAAAAAACAAAATTTTAGTGTCAACAATTTTTTTGGGTAAATATGAACTTTATAATAAAACAATATAAAATATATCAAATATATTTACAACTTACCTTTGTAATTTACAACACTTCAATGCTCCTATTAAGCATCTTTGACATCCCAGTTTGCAAACCATTATATATGCTCCATCATACTTTAAGAAAGTATTAGTTAGACAAAAATAATGGCATCATCATAAAACATTAGTATATCATTATCATTAAGAAAATATTAGTTACAACAACCAAAAAGCATGTAAACAACAAGTATATCATAATCTTTTTCATTAGTATAGTATGTGTTTTGTCTGATGTTTATTAACTGAATAATCAACTAACAAAAGGTATAAGAAGCCAGGAATTGTTTAAAAACTTGAATATATTTCATAAACAACATCAACCTTTCAACTGAACTTATACAACAACAATAATAATATGGAAACAGAGAATGAATAAAGGTATTACCAAATTCTATAGTATATATATCTACATCATAATGAAACCTAAAACAATTCAGCACTTAGAACAAGAATGCTATTTTTAAACATTTTACTAATACCTTAATATTGTCTGGGGTGTTTCAATGTTTATGCACACCTTTCATGTCTGATAATTGTTAAGACCAAAAAACTAAAAAACAAAAAGTACAGGGTGACTGAAATTTTAGTCTCAAAATCATGTATTACACATTTTACATAGAAAACAATAAAGTTGTCAAATATTGTATTATATACATCTACATCATAATCATTCCTAAAACAATTCAGCATTTAGAAACAAGGATGATATTGTTTAAACAATAACAATAAAAAATTCATTACAGAGGATTATGAACTATAACCAAATGTGACGAAGAAATTCTTACCTTACTAAGTTCTGGGGAGCTCCAATGTGTGAGAAGACATTGCATTTCAATAACTGTTTAATAAATCGAAAAAAATAAAAAAAATTTAAATCATTAAAAATATTAAGACAGAAATTTGAAATCTGATTTTCAAATTACTGTAATCCAATTTGTTATTTGGTAAATGAATCCTTTCCGGATTTCATATTTTTCGATCATATTGAAAAGGATCTCGAGTTGAATCGAGAAATTAGACCAGATCCGTCATTAATACAACAAAATCAACATAAAATTCTCGAAAACAATTTGTTAATTGAAACACGAATGACTTCCTTTTCGGCTTTCATATTTTTAGTAGTTTGATTTTTTGGATCTGGAGTTGAATCGAAAAATTAGACCAGATCCATCAATAATACAACAAAATCAACATAAAATTGTCGAAAACAATTTGTTAATTGATAAACGAATTACTTCATTTCTGGTTTCATATTTTTCGACTTCAAATCAAAAAAATAGACCAGATCCGTAAATAAACCATGATGAATTTTCGACAAATTTTCATTTTTTCTTACAAATCGAGCTCAGATCCAACAAAAGAAATAATAATAACGAAAATATATAATTTTTTTTTTAAAAATAGATCTATGTTTTAAAAACAAACTATGATTTAAGAGTTTGAACCATGTTTCTAAACATAAACATACGAATTACAATATGTGTAATCGATTTGTTTAGAACATATGTTCAAAATCTGCAGAAAAAAAAATCACAAGAAATGAAACTGACAGAAATGAGGAGAGAGAGGAGAGAAACGCATGTATGGGAAAAGAAAAAAAGAAGATAAACCCTACATTATCAGATATTTGTAGGCTTTTATAGTTGCCAACTTTGCTTTATGTCCGTTAGATCGATCCAACGAATGTAGGCCATTCGATCTTTGTTTACTTTGTACAACCAATTAACACGTGTACATGTATTGGGCCAAGAATGTCAGGTAAGTTAATTGGAATTGGTTTGTTAAAATTTAGGTCCAATTCCAATTTGTCAAAATCCATGTTGTTTTGGACTAAGAAAAATTATATTCATGGGCTTAGTATATATGTATTGGAAAATAGTATCTTATATATTTTACTTCAAATTAAACATAATTTTTTTATAGTCAATAAAACTTATTATTATTATTTTTATTTTTATTATTATTATTATTATTAGAAAGAATCCCATGCGATGCACTGTTGTTTCCTACCTTAGAACATTTTTTCAAAACTTTATTTTAACAATATGATAACTCGCTGACCCGTTTATATTAATATAAATATAAATAATTTTAAAATATATATTTATTTTTTGGACAGAAAAAATAATAATTTTACATATATTATTTCATCATAATATTCAAATATTATTTTATTCAAAATTTTATTGTCGTATAATTTCATTATTATTTATAGCACTTATAGAAGTAATATTCCATTTTTTTATATAATGATAAAGATTGAATGTATATTAGTATTACTTATTAATGTAATTAATTTAAAATTTATAAGAAAATTTACTATTTGTTAGTAATGTAAGTTAAGATAAAATGGAATATACCCAAAAAGAATTGATTATGATATTTTTCTTTTATTATAGATAATATAAACACATTTCCCCGGATTGGATCATCTTTTACTGTCCTGAAAAAAAAAATGGAATTGATGTGTCGTCCGATGTAACGAATGGTATGTATTTCAATTATGTAAATTATTACTTTACCATCTATATAAAAAAAGAGTTGGTTTAAAAATTTAATTAATTTCATATATATGTTGTAACTAATTTTTGTAACAGGTGAACATAATGGTCATTGATCTGCATTTCATGTTGGTGGTAATAATGCACCAAAAAACATTGTTATCGATCTCATAGGTGAAGACGACCTTGAAATGAATATTGTAACTTCTTCAACTACCATGACCCCTGTCCTTAAAACTTTCACTAATTATGAAGACATACAGTCACTTACACAGAAACAAAAACGTGGTCGTCCTAGAATATTATAAAACGAACAAAATACAAAGAGCAGCCACTAGCTGAATACAGACAACCAACAGCCGAAAACACGCAGCCAATAGCTGAAAAAGTGGGAGGACAGGTCAAAAGACCGCCTAGAACCGACCCCAACGGGGTAAAACTCAAGAACACTACAAAACACTAAAACACTAAAAAATAACACAAAGACCCCAACAGGGTAATACCCGAGTGTCTGGCCCCCACAGGGAAATCAAGTTGGCACTCGGGCTCACAGAGGCCAACGGCCTAAACCAAAAACACAAAACATCAGCAAAAGAACAAACAACACAAAACAACTAACACAA